AAGAATCCAGAATCGAGAGACCTGCCTCTGAGGTCAAGCGCCAAGAATCCGGAATCGAGAGACCTGCCTCTAAGGTCGAACGCCGAGAATCCAGAATCGAGAGACTTGCCTCTGAGGTCGAACGCCGAAAATCCAGAATCGAGAGACCTGCCTCTGAGGTCGAACGCCGAGAATCCAGAATCGAGAGACCTGCCTCTGAGGTCGAACGCCGAAAATCGAGAATCGAGAGACCTGCCTCTGAGGTCGAACGCCAAAAATCGAGAATCGAAAGACCTGCCTCTGAGGTCGAACGCCGAAAATCGAGAATCGAGAGACCTGCCTCTGAGGTCGAACGCCAAGAATCCAGAATCGAGAGACCGTTGATTGAGGTCGAAAAACAAGAACTGAATGACCACTCCCTGAAGTCTTGAATTTAAATTTTGAATTTACGTCTGTTGTGTTTCGATCACCATGTTCGAGGCTCTCTTATACCACCTTGTCCTGTCGCCCCTCAGTTCAAATGTTAAAATTCAAGCCTGTTGTATATTCCTGCTCGTGACGGAATGAATCCCATCTCCCTGCCTTTAAAGTCGAAAAATCAATTCGAAAAAATCAAGATAAAACGCCATCAACCTGCTCGTGCAGTAATGAATACCCATGACCTACCACCGAGGTCTGCTCGATCTATCTGTAATGAATCCCTGAGTTTGCTCGAAATGAGCCTCCTTTATCTGCCACACTGGTCGAACTATCCATAACGAGTTTTATTGACCTTCCAATGCTCAACATATCCGGTAACGCATTTGATCAACCTGCCGCTGCCACCGAGGTCTGCTCAAGCTATATCCGTAATGAATTTCATCTCCCTGCCTTTGAAGTCGAAAAATGAATTCGACAAAATCAAAACCATGTAAAGATCCTCGACCTGCTTCTGAGGTCTCCAATAAGCTCCATATCTTCAACGATCCAACATTAGAATCAACCACCCAGCCCGGAGGCCTTGGTCATGGTAGATTTTTTGTATTCGAACACATGCCCACCCTCGAAGGAGTGGTCGATACATGTGACCACCCAGCCCGGAGGCCTTAGTCATGGTGGGTTTTTTGTCTTCGAATACATGCCCACCCTCGAAGG